CAGGGCTTTGGAGGAATCACAAGGTGCTCAAGCAAGTGGGTTCGCCGAGGGCAAAGTGTTCTACTGGCCTTACCACCACAGCTGGACTTCCCAAACGTAGCGACCTCCTCACCGAGTCATTTGAGAGACTACGGAGTCTACAGGAGAGTTTTCCTTAACTCGTTGAGCTTCAGAGCAGCCTAACCTCTTCGCTGTTGTCTCCGGGTGTTGCACTTCAGTTTGGGTTTGGTGTTCAGCAGCAAGGACCATAACTGACCATAACTGTCCATTTTCTCCCAGTTTCTTTGCCTTGATGCTGCAGCGGAGCCCTGGGTTGCTGACTTTCAGAGAGCGAGTGTAGGTCTCTTCTTCTTTCCTGTATGGGAGTGATTGTAATTTGAGAGAGATGATCCTATTCACTTTCTTCAAGGAGGCAAGAAAGATTCTTGAAGAAGAAATAAAAAGGGCACGTTTTACACAACAAAAAGTCAGCATAAATTGGCGTATTTCCCAGAAAATCTGGCAGTGCTAAAATTGATGAGTCTGTGGCATTTCAGGCAGTTGTATCTCCCATTTTGTTTCGAGGAGACCCTCTTAGCTATGCAGGAGACAGGAGAGCTTCTGAAGGAAGCTTACAGTAGTAGGCAGCAGCGAACTGAGAAGGCAGCAACAGCTACCAGATTCAGCAGTGCGTGAGGAATGTGTGTAAGTGTATTTCCAGTGCCTTGGCGCGTCCTTACAAGTTCTTGAAAATAGTGAAATTTAAGCACAGAATCAGATCCTTCTGGTGGATTGGAGCTGAGGGCTCCAAATACACAGGCGACATCTGCCCATCTTGACACCTGGACTGAACGCCTCTGTCAAGGAGTCTCTGCAAGGATGCAATTGAAGGATTGGTCCAGGAATTCACCGTTGCTTTTGGATGTCTGTAAGAAAACTGCCTGGCACATGCTGTAGCAGTTTGCATCTCAGCCAGAATTTTTAAGAAGTAGTAAATGATAATAAATAATTTCCCTAGCAGAACAGGAGGTTAGATTTTGTCGATTTATTTTGGTGAGAGGAGTTCCTCTAAGGAACCTCCTCCTTTGCTGAGGGTAAAGGTCTTGTTCCTTACACTTTAAATGTGAAATGTGAAAATGTCATTATAGTCAGAGCAAGTATCCTGTCTTTTACACTAAGTTGCCCCCTGATTTTCTAGATAGGTGGGGCATTTCTCACAGATAGCCAGGAGTCAGTCCTAGCCTGTGAGTAGTCTCACTTATTCTTTACTGAGCTACAGCATAAATAATAGTAGCAGAATGTGCCTGTAATATTCTGATGGTGCCTTTAATGAAATAGTTACTGGGTGGGATATGAAAAAGCAATGTGAAACCGGCTAGAGCCCGAGTTACTGCTTTGCAAACTTCTTACTGTGTATTTCCATATAAATACATGTCAAGCGATTACGTTTTTATGGAGTTTCAAGTGAATTCCAAGCGAAGCCGCGGACGATGGGTGCTTTGGCAGGTCTCTGTTTGATCTAAGAGTCTTTCCATATAAATATTCAATGTTCTTCAAAGCGGAGTGGTTTTGGACCCCCAAGCACGTAGAATTTACTGCCTACCTCTACTCTGAGGGCTGACCCAAACAAGGCAGAATTTGAATTCCCTCCGTAAAATTGACTCCACTAGTTCTGCACATTATTCTCCCTGTCTCCCATTTAGCATGTTAGTCTGCTGACAGTAGAGTACACAGCACTTAGCAGCTGGTTTGTGGAACCATCAGTCAGGAAATTATATGATAAATAGTAGGTAGCCAGGTTTAGTGGCACTTTATTCTGCTTCAGCAGTTTTAGCCTGACTTTGGAAAAGTCATCATGTGGTTTTTCTTAAGGGCTGCAAGAGGAGATGGCTACAGCGGAGTAACTTATTACACATACACTTGAGTTATGATGTTCACCAGCTGCATTGCTCATGTGTAAATAATAAACTGTGAGATGGATAATTATGTTGGGTTTTGATATGCAGCTCTGCTCCGGTCGGCGCAGGGCTGACGGAGACAGCTCCCCGTGCCGTGATGGAGTACGGCTGTTTCCCAGATGGAAACTGCAAACAAGATGCAACCAGGATATACAAAGGAGCTTAATGCGAGAGGACTCAAAAAGGTGTTCTCGGAGATTTATGTCCCATGTGTTAAATGCAAGTTGTTGGTGCTCTGCGCTGCGGCGGCCCTGACAAAGGGGAGTACCCTTTTTGTGTTGTTTTATACTCATTTTTCCATTTCCCAGATAGGGGAAGATAGATGATCGCGTTTAGGGGGGTTAAATGGTGTTTCGCTGCATAAATATCGGGAGTGCTTTTAAAAGGTAGGTGCTCAGGCTGGGTGAGGGTGGGACAGTGAGGAGGCTCGGTGTCCTGAGGGGGATTGCTTGCCTTGGCCAGGTGGAGCCCGTCCTGTTGGACATGAGTAAGCATGTGGTCTCACTGATGCTCTCCAGACTCGCTCTTCAGAGACGCGTAGGGCAGAGAAGGACTTGCTTGTGCATCTACGAGGGCGTGAGTGACTTCCTTCTTCTCTGAAAAACTGGTGGCAGAGTTTTTATGGGAAAATGCCAGACATCTGCTTTGAAACCTCCTCCCTTCAGCTTACAGGGCTGTACTCAAATAGCAGCGAAGCAGGGAACAGGGCAGGCAGGGAGATGCACTAAACCCCACTTCTTACACCCCTTTTCCCCTTCTCCACCTTGGTGGCTGGTAAGGAATGTGTTTCAGGAGGTGGCAGCAAGCATCCTCCACTTGGACAATGACCATGTGCTCACGGGGGTACGTGGTCATCTGTGACACACCTTTGGTGCTGGTGAAGCCCAGGAGTGCTCAGCATGGGGACTGAAGCTTGGAAGAGATTGCATGCCAAGGTCCAGTTGGGGCAGCGGATCCGGAATTGAAGCTACTGTGAGTTTGAGCTCCCATTTCCCAGTAGTAAGCCACAATTATTTTTCATTTAGGGTGCCTAAGCCCTGAGTCAGTGAATGGGAGAAATGTGCTGTGGCTGGTCACATGCTGGTGATGTTTCACAAAAACAAGCCATGAAACTGGAGAGGCCATGTGAGATGTTTCCAGATTTTCCTGAAATACTGGGAATATTTCCTCAGACTTTACGCGATTTCCCCTGCAATCCCCTCCGTTTACTCCCTCAGGGCCATGAGGTTTGTTCCTCTCGTTCTTTCTCCTGCTTCAAAACATAGTAATAAACCAACCCAACTTTTGACAAACACCAAAGGGAAAGAATCCTTTTGTTTTTAACCATCCGTAGTTGGCGCGAGGGAACTGCTTTCACAGATAATGTAATCTGCTGAGTAGGAAAGGCAGGAAATACAAAGAGAAGATACGTTCAAGAGTCAGCAGGCAAAGCCAAAACAGACTCAGTTTTATTGCCGGCGCATAATTAAAGTTTTTTTTCTTTCTCAAAAGTGTTTTAGTAACTCCATGCCATGACCTAACGTCTGTACTTCTCAGCTTTTAGGTGTCGGATAAACGCATGACTTCATCCAGAGTGGCAATGGCCTAAGAATTGGGCAGGATGGGGTTGTTTGGTGCGGCTGGAGATGCTCAGCATCTCGTTTGGGAGGCGGGGGTGAGCAGCGGGGTGGGCAGGAACCTCCTTTTAGGCAGGTGGGGTTGGTCCTGGTGTGCTGGTGTGGAGAGCTGTGCTCCGTGGCACATTTGGGTCTGGAGAATAAGTCTTATGAGGAGAGGCTGAGGGAGCTGGGGTTATTCAGCCTGGAGAAGAGGAGGCTGAGGGGAGACGTTATTGCTCTCTACAACTACCTGAAAGGAGGGTGTAGAGAGGTGGGGGTCGGTCTCTTTTCTCAAGTCACAGGCGACAGGACAAGAGGAAATGGCCTCAAGTTACACCAGGGGAGGTTCAGGCTGGATATTAGGAAAAATTTTTTCACTGAA